TGCTTTTAATCTATGTCTGTGTTTCTGCCTTTACTGACTATGTCTAATCCATGTTGTATTTGATGGGTTTATTTCCACATGTATTTCTGACCCTGACCATACACAGCAAAGGAAGCTTAATTCACATGAAATCAGCTGCTGACTAAAAGCAGGTCCAAGGTCCACTTATGACAAAAAACTTGAAATATGCAAGTACCTCCAAACCACTGACCAAACCCTGAAAAAGGCACAGGATGGGAACAAAAGCACCTGAACAAGAAACCTCAGAGCTCTGACTTCCGTCTTTGTCTTATCTATGGACTTAGGACAAATAAACCAGACTGCTTTTCTGCGTCTCAGTTCCTCATCAGTACTAACTCCTTCCGCCTTGATGTGTCCAGACCATAATCTCCCTGGGCAGGAGCTCTCTCCTCTTATATTTACATTGTACATTACATTACATTTAAATGGTGCCTTGCACAGTAGGATGCCCCATTTGGTTGGCGCCTCTAAATACACTGTGACAAATGTCTAATCTTTACAGGTGGGAAATTTGGCTTCCGGGGAAGTTTCATCCCTCCCTGCAGAGGAAACAAACCACTCTCCACCAGTTTTGAGGTTAACTTGGAGTTGCAACAGCTTCAGCAGCCAGGCATTTGCCTTGTGCCTTTCCCTCACTCTCCAAAAAGAAACTTTTGTCCCACAAAGAGCTCATCTGTGAAACAATGGGAATAGCAAGTTGCAACCTGAGTTGGGAACACATGGCCAAGAACAGCATTTCTTAAGCCATCTTTGCTGTTGAAGTCAATGCATAACATGAGCTTCCGCTTTTATCAAGCCCTCCCTTCAAAGAAAAAGAGCGATCACAGCTGAGTCAGGGAGAATTTGCCATCTCATCAAAATGCATCTACAAGAACATAGAAGCTCAAAATGAACCAAGGAACAAGCCACCCTGTCCAGATGTCAAAGGCAACTAGATTTCAGTAGCAACTTAGATGACAATGTGCGCTGCTCTAATATCAGCTTGAACAAGGATGGAAAAGATGGCACATGAATATGAAAGATACTAAAAAAAAAAATCAAGTTTTCTCACAGCACAAGGCACAGAGTTAACTGTTACAACAGTGGCTCACCGGTAATCTGTAAAGCCAGATTCATATATTGACTTCCTAAAACCTTGGTCACCAGAACCAATTATAATATTAAAGGGAATAAAGATCATCTGGTGCTCTTTTCCAAAAGATTCACTTATTGACTAAAAGAACCATGATAGATAGTAGCACTTGGGCCCCATGCCCACTCCTGACTCAGTCAAGAAAATACACAGGTGGGAGATGCTGTCAGCAGTTTACCTGTAGTCAGGATCAGCTGTAACAGTCCAGTAATAGGATGCTGTACTGCATTAAATCAACATATTGATTAAGGAGGAATAGTCCTACTCAAGGCAGCATGTACATTATTTACAAATACATTAAAACTGAATGCTGACAGTACAGTCAAGATTAAGACAGTAAGTACAGTGATGGAAGATGGCCATTATGAGTGAAAGGAGGAAGAACTAAAATTATCAAAGAGATGGATTTTGAGAGAAGATTGTTGGGAGACATGGACATAGACAGCTCTCTGATACAGGAGGCAGTATGGAAAAAGCAGCCAGCAATAGTTGAGGAAGAACTCAGCAAGAAGCAAAAAGCAGAGTCTCGGTGGGCTTCCAAAACGTCAGGCATTAAGATTCAGTACAGGAAAGGACCAAGAGGCCCAACCCAACTGGCAGCTAGGACAGATGTGATCAAAGAGTAAGAGAGACTTCACTTGTTCCATCTTGGACAGACTGGGAAGTAAAACACCTAATCCAGAACCTTGGGAGAACAGCCCTGAATGCCAGGGAAGAAAAAACTTCCAAGTCCAAGTCTGGAGACCAAAAGGCTTATTTGCAAGACCCATTTAGTTGGCAGCACACCAGGTGGGTTTTGTTCACCTGAAACATCTGTCTCAAGGATATTGTTATTGTGCAATATTGTTCTCTACTCTCCAGAAGTAGATTCAGACTATATCATGTAAGCACATTTTTAAATCATGTAGAAGTAATCAAGTAGTTAGAACGTGATGTGAAATATTATCAGTAACTCATCAGCTTTTGCAATTAAACTCTCTGATGTCTTCTTTGCCTAGGTTCTACTTGTTTATTGGAAATTACAGTAATAAATTAGTACATTATAGCAACTAGGACTGGTTTAGTTACTCTCAGTGTCCAACCAGCAATTTAATTTATATGGCAAACCTATACTGTTTGTGTATGTACTGGTTTTGTATGTCACAGTACAATTACTCTGAAGTTCTGGTTTTCCATGCATGTACCTAGCACACAGTTATACAAACATCCAAGCTTATTGCATAGTTTACGACAAAAGCAATGTCTTTCCCAGGTTGCTTTATTACAACAGATGCGTAGGTCTTCCCTAGAAATATGGGAATATTGTTATCATTAAACTGTCAATAGCAATATGCAGATCTACTGTTGCATTTTCAGGGGAATATTAAACTGTCAATAGCAATATGCAGATCTACTGTTGCATTTTCAGACACTGGATTTCTTTGTTTCACTCTGCTCAGATTGTATTTTCCTAGATGATGCTCTGCTAAGGACACAGCCACACAGACAATCCCATTTTTGTTTTAGTGCCACTTCTTCAGTGCTGTTTCCAGATACCATTTCAGCAGAACAAAGCCAGAATCCAAATGCCAGCATCTCTTGCCTAAACCTTAACTGGTAAAAAAATATTTTCAAGAAGTAGGTACCTTCTTACTTACTGCAGCAAAACCCAATGTAAAGCATGTAAAACAGCTAAAGGTTTCTTAACTTCATTGACAAAAAGCAGGAAGAATATACAAGGAAGATGAGTATCAAAGGAGAATAAAGAACTGCACTTTCTCCTGTGGAGTTATTCCTGAAGATTTACATAAAACCTAGAACAAGCAGGACTGAGAGCTGCCATTAGAAAAAGGCTGTGTCCATATTAAGAGATCAGAATGAAACATGGCAGAATCTCTAAAATTAAGGGAGGCCACACCTCCATTTGACAGCTGTAACTGAGCTGAGAATAACTCCACTAGGACTGCATCATCTCTCTGAAAGGCAGCAATTTCTTCCCAGTAAAACTCCTTTATGGAAACCAATATTTATTCTGTGTACTTTTCCCCACAAAGAATTTTGGGAAAATGAGTATCCCACTTGACAGATAAGGAATTCTAGGGAGAGATGCTTTAGTCAAGGTCACACAATGACTCACTGCTGAAGCTGCCCCTGCAGTTCAGTGGCTCACACGCTCACATTCATTGTCTTTTACTAAAGGCAAAAGCCTTATGGATTTTATAGTCACCAAATCAGCCAAGTCGTCAGCTTGAAGGAAAACATCAGGCAACAGGGAAGAGCAACTCCCCTCTTGCCACAGAGCAATCAGGATATTCCAGGTCCAAACAAAGAAAGGAATATCTGAATTGCTCAGGGAAAAGAAAAGCAGGGTGGCCGTGGGTGTCCTCTGTGCACCCCACTTTGTCTGCACTCCTGCAGAGCTTGCCCACAGCCATGCCTTGGGCAAGGAGGCAGGACTGGCCATGTAGCAATTTCATCCTGGGGGTCCTCCTGACACTCCCTGAAAAGGACAGCACCCATGGCGGCAGCCCACTGCTGCAGAGGGAGCTCCCCAGGCACAGACAAGGCTGACAGCTGAGCTCCACAGGACCAAGCCTGCCCCCAAGCCACCCTCTCTGGACAGAAGAATTGATTTTTGACTTATCCTTCATCCCATAGTCCAAGTGACACTCAGAGGAACAGGCACACTGACACTCTCTCTAGATACAAAGATAGACTCAGACCTGCCCTGAGCATCCCCTGCATGCTCAGACCTGCCACGCAGGGGATGCCTTCCCACACTCCCTCAGACCTACCACAGCAATCCACCTCACCACTCACAGGCCCTACAGAAACGCTCCCCAAATACACCCCCTTACACACACACCCCCATCTGAATATCTCTTCTTCCACACAGACTTTGCTTGAACCATATTCAGATGTAGCTCATGAACTCCCAATACCCTTTCCACACACATCACTATGCACGAACCCCCCCAGCACTCCCCCACAGCCCAACACACCCCCCCACACTCCCTCAGTACAAACCTTACCACACACCCTGTGCATGAACCCCCTTGAGGAATCCCAACACCTCCTCTGCAATTAACCCTCCTTACATCTTCCTCCACACATGTATCAAATCCCAAATTTCACCAAACCCAACCCCCCCAAAACACCTTTTTCCATACACACACCTTGTTCATTATTTTCTCCCTCTAAACACACTGTGAACTCCCAATGCACCCCTCCACACACTCCCCAAACACTGTAAAACCTCTGACACCCCCCTTCCACACATCTACTATACACATTGTATGCACCCCCAACACCCCACTCCACACACCCTCAAGTCCCTGCACAGCCCTGACCACACCCCTACACACACACATTGTGCACAAACCCCTCAAAACACCCCTATACAGAGTGCATAAATCCCTCCCACCCCCGTTACACACGCACCACATCTCATTCACATCTCCATTCATACCCATCCACCCCAGCGGGAAAACCGCATCACTCCTCAGCCACCCCCTGCACCCATCTGGGACCCTCCCCCTCTGCTCAGCCTGGACAGACGTGTGGACACCCTCAGACAGCCCCCCCGAGCGATGGACACAGCCATGTCTAGCCAAGAGAAAGACACACCCCTTTGGCGCCACATCTGTACCCGAGCGAGTGTGCTGGTGACACCCTGGGGGGGTATCAGCCCCAGCACGACCACCCTCTCCCACACCACTCCGGAGGGGCGGGCAAACGGTTGGATTCAGCACAGAGGGGCAGAAGCATCCCCTTGCGCCGAGAAAATGTGACCTTAACGGCAGACCCAAGTGCTGCAGCCCCCTTCCCACCCCGCCTCCTCACTGCACCAGGCGGTGATGCTAATTACCTTCCTCCAGCTCATCCATGCTCCCAATCTTCCGCGACCCGTCGATGGTGTAAATGTAACGGACTCCCTGAGGCAGATTAATGTTGTCAGACAGGGATCGGGTCAGGTCAGCCAGGAGAGCATCAAAACTTCTGAAGCGGTCAGAGGACACGGCATATACAATCCCCTTGAAGTAGCGGTCCCCGTTGCGATAGAAACGCACCTTCTTGGCTTTCTTCTCATTACTCAGTGCCTGTAAGGTCCTGGTTCTGTAGAAGCTACAGTGAGCACTGTGAGTGGGGCTGGGCAACCCATTCATACGTGAGCCTCGCATGTTTCTGGACGCCTTGTCTCTTTCGTCAAAGTGTCCAAAATCAAGTTCCATAGTTTGGTGAACCCTAAAGATCTGAAGCTGAGCAGGAAGGAGATGGGGAGAGAAGGAGTGCGAAGGGACAGGTTAGAGCCAAGCAGAGCCACAATCCAGAGAGAAAAACGACACTGATGCAAGAGCTGTGTCTGTAGCAGGACAGATGCTTTTGGGAAGCACCCCCTCCTCTGACCCAGATTTGTATTGATTCTGGGGACTGAGGGTAGGAGGGGTCCTCACATTTTGAAAGGGATCCAACTACTGGGGGCAGGGAACACATTTCTAGAGAGCTGTCTGCTCCTGCACCTGGGAGTTTTCAAAGTGCAGTAAATTGGGACTTGGGGCTGAAGGAATACACGGCAATCACAACTCAGCCCCACAAAAACTCGTCCAAACACCAGTTGGCAATGAATTAAACCTCTGAGCCCTGTGAGGTTTCCTTTGGCAACAGAAAACAAGGAGATCCCAGTAAGTCAGCCCTTCAATCTGTCGAATGACGGAAGGAACCAAAGCATCTGAATGTTTAACATTAAAATAAACTGGCATTTATGAAAGAATGGTCACAGGGGAATAAGCAGTTTCTTTGTGACAGCCTGTTCAATAAGGGTTAGCAATGAGATCCAGCCCACCCTTCCCCCTATCCGCAGCCCCCTCCTAGCCCATCAATCAATTCCCAGGACCAGCCTACATCTCTAAGAAGAAATGACTGGAAAGAAAAATCTGTCATTGAGGCTTCGATAAGCTCTTTTCAGCCTGAGTCTCCTCTGAATTGCATTTCTGCTCCCCTTTAATGAGGAGCAGAAAATAAAGGGGCTGTTTGCACCCCCCTTCCAGGTTTAAGTGATTTAATTGCTGGAAGTGCCCCTGCCCAAGGGACACGCCGCCCCTGCTAGCTCACCTTTCATTGTTCTGAGCGCGGGGGGCTCCCAGCGCAAGCCACTAGCACAGAAAAGCTGAGACTTGAGCTGACACCCAGCAAGCAGGAATTTCTGCACAGTCTTTAGTTTATTCTCAAGAACAACCTTCCTTCCGCACCAAACCCCAACACAAAAGGAGGAGGAACCCCCAACCCTGCAATAGAAAGACTCTTCTACTCCCTCAGCACACCCAGGAACATGCAACTCACGTATGTTGCTTGTATGTTAACACTGGGCAGAAAGGGGATTTTCACCAGCACTTGGCAGCTGTATATAAATCTAGGAAAAGCTGTTGCTATCTCTTCCCCACCCCTTATGTTTGCCAGAATGAAGCTTCATCCCTGTATTTTACAATGTCAATGTGACCTGTGCAAGAAAAATCATTGTTCCCAGTCTGCAATAAAGCAGAAGATGACAATGCAGGCGATTTGCACAGAAACCCCAAGTTGAGAACATTTTCCCCACGATGCCAGTTGGGGTAGATTCAGTCCGGTGTCATGCACTGAACAATGAAACATCCAAGCAACTTCGGGAATGAATCAGAGGATGCAGGGGGGTTGATTTTAAAATGAACTGCAGATGCTGTAAGGTACTAAGAGAAAGATTCCTCCTTTCTATCTGACATCTGTTACTTTTCTGCATGCAAGTCAGTCAAAAAAGCTCTACTCACCGGTTTTCAGCGCGCAGGGTGGAGATGCTGAGAGAAAGAAAACCAGGCTCACTCTGCCTTTGTTGTCTGAGCTCCAAGCAAGAAATTCCTGCCAGGGTGGATGAGACGCCTCCTAGGTCCTAGTGCCTTGTTCCATCCCTTCACGGTAACTTTGCCTCAGTGGTTTTTACTCTCACCATCAGTCTCCTGCTTGTAGCCTTCTCTGTATTTGAGGGGAAAAAAAAAAAGAAAAAAAAGGTGTGTTCATTCCAGCTCTGGATACGTTAACAGATAGGTAAACAAAAAGTTTAAAGGGGCAGGTTTTGGGGTAATGTTCTAAAGGATGCAAATTTCCCCTTGGCTCCAGCTTCATCAAGAAAGCATCTAGTCCCCCCCCCCCAAAAAAGATATCATAATTAGACTGATGCACCAATATTAGGTGTGTTCATTCCAGCTCTGGATACGTTAACAGATAGGTAAACAAAAAGTTTAAAGGGGCAGGTTTTGGGGTAATGTTCTAAAGGATGCAAATTTCCCCTTGGCTCCAGCTTCATCAAGAAAGCATCTAGTCCCCCCCCCCCAAAAAAGATATCATAATTAGACTGATGCACCAATATTACAGGATTATCAGTACAGGGAAGTCATGGCTACAGTCCTGCAGTATGCTACAATGCTGGCACAAGACTCCTATGCATTATGAAAGAAACTAAGAAAAAGGTTGACCAGTGGAACTGGGCACAGTCCTGCTCCTGTACTGGTTTTTACACAGCATTCATGGTTTACACTGGCAAGCAGAAAGGGAGAATTCACTTGGTGGTTCCGCATGTGGTGCACCTGAATAATTTTTTTCCGTTAACATTGGACACAAGCCAAAGCCAGAGCTCTGAATCCCAGTTCATTCAAATCCCCAAGGGGTTCAGGATGGAGTCATTCAACACAAGCTTAACCCAAAAGATTCAGCCTGGCTCATATCCCAAACCAAGAGAAGTTTATTTTCTGATTCCACTGCAGGAGGACTCAGCTGTTACAAAATTGTACTGGGCTCTCACTTTGACAGCGAAATCATTCACCTGCTTTCAGGACGGAGATTTCTACCCTGCAGTTAGAAAAGCAGCACCACCAACCCCGCTCCTAACCCCACTGGTTCTGGTCCCATCTTTGTTTTAGAAAAGGACGGGATTTAGAAATGGGAGGGTCGTCCCATCTGTAGAAGGAAATCTTTCCGAACAACTCTGTGTGTTTTGAATGAAAACATCAGATTTTGTCATTTTGGCACATCATAGCAGGATCACATTAACACACGAAAAGTGAGTATTTATTCCAGCTTTGTCTGCCCTGTACATGATAGTCCAGGCAACACTGACATAAACCCACTGAGAGTTCATTTTTGCTTGCCAGCAACTTTTACAAATTACTTTTGTAAAGTTTCTCATTCCCTGAAACCATTCTTTTATGCAAAGGCTCCCATGCATCCTCCACCAAAGCTGCTGTCTGCTCCCTTATGTCCTTGGTGGGATCACTACAGAGGAGACCACAGAGCTACTCCTCTTCCTCAGGAATTAGCACTTGAGAGGACCACAGGAGAGAGCAGGGTCTGTGCTCTCCAGGGCATATTTTGATACGTCTCTGGATGCAGCTACAAGATGTAGGTGGGACTTTAAGCCTTCTACTTCCCATTAGATCCCATTTCAAGTTAGATAATACTTGGCCATTCATCACCATGTGCTTAGTCTGTCCAAGATTAATTCTTCCCTATACAACAGTAGTGATGTAAATAAAAATTTATTCATACTTTAAAAATGTGCAAAAGGTACAAATCATTAGGTATTTGCTAAGTACAGTAACAGGAAGAATAGAGAAAAGGAAACCAAATTCAGTCTTCAGTGATGCACAGAGCTTTGACAGAGAAGAGGCAGACTGTTTGAGATGATGTCTAAGGTTCTGGATAAAACCCCAGGGTAACCTGGCAGGATGATGTAAATCCATGCAGTCAGTGGAATTGTACAACAACTGATTCATCTCCCAAGTTTGACTTGTATGGAGAGTTCTGAGGACAGCAAAGGGTCTCAAACAGCATTAACAGATGGTTCCTGGCTTCTTTCCACATCTGAGACCATACTCAATGGTGAGAAGATAAGCATGACTATATGGACATGTCTGCTCAAGACACTGTCAGAAGATTTTTCGGAGCAGAGGCACTTCCTTTTAAAAGCAGAATCGCTCCAGTAAGAGACTTGGTATTTGTTCCCAACTGAAGGATAAGGTTTCTATAGCAAATGGTAGCGTTCATCTCAAGTAAAAACTCAAGTTATTCCTAAAAGGTGCCCAAAACTTCTTCAATACAGTTGTCTTCCTTTAATCCTGTCACAAGACAAGAAGGATCTCAGCAGGCAGAGCACCACTGGAGGTGAAGAACCCCAGAGTCAGATTGATTTCACATCTTTGTGGCATCACACCATATTTGCTTCTCTTCAAATGAGAACTTGATGACCTCACACTACAGACATTGGCTGGGCTATGCAATAAGTCACAGAAATAATCAGCTCTTTCTTGATGAATGGAAGGGCCTGCTCCTGACTTCATTTCTGTTGATCAGGCACAAGAGCTTCTTCACTGGCCTTAAAGAGTTAATGCTAGTCAAAACCTATTTACATCGAAAGAGACTCACCCCCTGAGATACCATAATCTAAACCATTTTAAGCAGCATTAGCAATTGAGAATTGGAAAGAAAATTCTTCTTCCCATCAATAGTTTAATCTAGCTACAAAGGAAAGATAATTTTAGCTTTTCAGATTAAATTATCTGCTTTAAATCAGGTGAATCACTTTCCTCCAGGAAGCTAACATTTAGACTGTTCCCTGTGTAACTAAATCTGTATAAAGACATGTTTGTTGACATTGCTGAGCAACTGTGATACTTTGGAAAGGGACACACTGCAGTTAAAAGGGATTTTGTGACTGCTTCATGGTAACTTCTTCACATATACCTAGAAAATCCAGTTTCTAGCATCATTAGGAGTTGGAGTCTTAAGTACTCTCTATGTCAATGCACAGTTACTTTGTTATACATCATCCTGACTTCTACAGAAAATTGCATCTGATAGCACAGCATGTTCTACAATCAGGATGCAAGTTAGGGTGATAAGTAGCCACGGTCTGGCTACACCACAGATGAGAACTCTAGAAAAATTTAAATCAAGCAATCATGGCTTTTGAAGGAAGCCTTGGATTAACATTTTCAAGTCAGTCTATTTAGACATACATGTTTAATTACATTTCTTATTTTAACCTCTGTTCTTCTGGACTGCTTTGAAAATGTCATTCCTGATCATTGCTTTCAAAGCTTTGCTTGATGTGAACTTACATGCCAAAACCCCCTGAAATGGCAAATTACTATTTCAGGGCTCTGCCAAATGCATCAAGGCACTCAAAACTGAAAGCCCATAAAGCCAATGGCTCGGTCTTGACCCTATAGAGCAACAGGATTTAAACCTGAATCTTTGAAAGAGCTGACAGCTTGTCAAAGAATTATCCTATATCAGACTATAGAGTTAATTCTTCCCTACATAATACTGTGAGCTAATAAGCAACGGGGTCTTGGCAGACTTTCACCACATAATATTTGTTTCCTTTGGAGATTTATTTTTACAGGGACCACACACATCTGAAAGTCTTTTAAATACCAATGCTAGTAAGCCAAAGTCAGCTCAGCCACTGGGGAGAGAAGGGTGGAGGAATACCTCCATAGCATAGTTTCGCCACTCCAAGCCTTGTAACCATCTGCAGAGGCTGTTCAGACTTTGAAGTCAGAGGGCTGGACCCTTCTACAGCCTGAATCACTGGAAACCCCAAGGAGCAGCTGGGAAAAGTTTTCAGTCTGGGGAAGGAGGAGAGGACGGAGCAGAAGTTGGGCTCCAAGGCCACTTCCAGCAGCTGGCCAACGTGGAGCCCCTCACCTGCACTGCACAGCACCAGTATCTCTTGGGTGAGACCTGTCACTCCTCCAGACCCCAGAGGCTGTGCTGAGTCAGTGCATTTGTGCTGCAGCATCACACCCTCGGCAGATGCCCTCAATCTCAGCAGACGACATTGGCTTCAGATAAGCTCCTGATGAAATTTGGGAGAAAGAGGCATTTACATACTCTGAGGGATCAACAAGAAGCAGGCTTCAAGTGAAAAGGCCATTCATTGTGCTAATAAAACTTTTGTAAGTATCTGGAAACAATGCAGCTCATGAGTTATTCGATGAACTCACTCAAGACATTCCCAGCACATCCAGTAATGAGAAAGCATTAAAACACACAGTCATCCAAAAGAAAAAATACCTTTTGCACTAGATTTCTTCTGGCTCCATCCCTTCCCTACTACAAGCAAATCATCACAATCAATAAATCTTTCCCAGCTGAAAACAAATTCCCTGATACCAGAAAAGGAAGCACTCCACCTCAGTACACACCCCATGATAGCTTGGGTAAATCCTGCCAGACCCATAGTGTTCCACAAGCCAAATTCTGGTGGCAGTTCAGTGGCAGTGCTTTCCTTAACAGTAATTTGCAAAGCTTGCAGAAAACCATGGAAACGTTTGCCACATGCATTGCCTGTACCCTGGGGGACATGCAAAACCTCACAAAGGTTGTCAGTACATTTTTGCTGACCAAATTATGTATGATACATGGTCTGCAAGTCCCAGCCAAGGTCATGACAAAGTGAATCACAAGAAATCCAGACGCCTCTTTTCTCTGAGGTTGTCCATGGGCTGCATCATAGCAATGAGGAGACTTATAACCAATAATTTAATAACTTCTTGATACTTTCATTTTAGACAGTAATTCTAACAATACATGATTGCCAGGCTCTCTCAAAATGCCTGATGAATATAACATTGGTTTGAAGGACTTTCCTAATGGAATATTAAATGATGGAAAGGAAAGTCCCAAAGCCATCATGGGGGATGGTGTCATATTCAGTTGGAAATCAAGATGTTTCCTTTCAAACATAGATCCTCTCTGTTACTCTGAAGGCAGTTACAGTGAAGTCAGGTGACACAGAGAGCATTTGTAAGAACAGCCCATCAGAAGTTGTTTTCCACAAGAGACTTCTACTTAGTATACTCAATCAACATCATCCCAGACCAAGTCCAACAGAGGCTACAGGATTAGCCATATAAGCATGCTAGGCAAATACTTTCTCAT